AGACTCAGGCAATTCTCTGGCCTCAGCCTCCCAAAGTGCTGGGATTACAGACTGAGTCACTACTCCCAGCCCAAAACAACTTTTACTTTTATCCTTGATTGATCCCTGAAGCAGATGAGGTTTCAGCTTTCCATGACCCCAATCCATATTTCATACTTCAGACATTGACATCCAGTGAGTTCCTACTTAGGGTTTAGATGTCATAAATCAGAAACCTCAGAATCAAAGATGGGAAGTATTTTATTTTGCCTCTAGCAAGGAGGCAAATCATAAACCATGATATATCACATTTCATCAAAACTAAGACACTATTACTTGTAATACATATGATTATTTTATACATCATTAATAAGGAGGAACAAAACATTGTCATTTATAATTTAAGGTTCTATCAACTGTGAAAAAAGAAAGTTTAAATGTAGAAAAAAGTATATTTTGCGATCAGTAAAAAATGATTTATTTGGTTTTTTTAAGATTTTAACAACAAGTGAATAGTGATAATGGTTAGTTAATAAACTAAAACAACAAAGCAGGATCTGCTTTCCTGTTTATGTATCTGTGATGGCGTGCCATATTCCAAAAAAAAGATACCTGAAAAATTATCTCATACAATCTAGAAAAGGATTCCTGAAAGATCTGTTTTATTCCTGTTCTAACACAAACGTTTAACTTTTTCATTTAAAAAATTACACTATTAACTCTGACATCAACCTAAAAATAACAAAAGTTACTTTGTTATTTATAACAAAGAATGTATAATCGAATGAGAAGTGGAAGAGATGAGAACATGGGGAAGCAATGAACCAATTCTAGATATGTTATTAAGGTGCCACTGAAAGTGTCTTCCACATAGGAAAAACAATGTTGTGATTAAAATTACCAAGAACAATGCTTTATGTTTAGAAATGAGTGCTGGTAATACAGATTTTTGAAAGTTTTCTAAATGGCTAGATACCTTTTGTGATATAATTGTGACTATCTTTTTTCTTAGAGCAGGAACTGGAAAATATTTCAAGTAAATGGCCAGATAGTAAATATTTTCAGCTTTAAGGACCACACGATGTGTCACAACTACTCAACTTTGCTGTTGTAGCACAAGAGCAGCCACAGACCCTATGTAAACAAACTAGTATGGCTGAGTTCCCATAAAGCTTTTTTATAAGAACAAGAGGCAGGCCAGTTTGCCCTTTGGGTCATAGAAGAAAAAGCTCAGACTATCTTGAATATAAACACATTGGGCCAAACATATCTAACAGTCTAATTGTTTCAACTGGAGAAGAATAAAATCTAGAGTCCCGTTGCATCTGAATATTTACAAAGGAAAAGATTGGAGTCCTAACAATATTGAGTTTGTGTGCATTGTTAACAAATAATATGAGAATGGGGAGGGTGGACAGGATTGCATTAAGCCTTTCTCCAAAAATGACTAGACTTAAAAATACTGAAGCAGGCCGGGCTCGGTGGCTCAGCCTGACATCCCAGTACTTCGGGAGGCCAAGGCGACTGGATTGCCTGAGCTCACGGGTTCGAGACCAGCCTGGACAACATGGCGAGACTTCGTCTCTACAATAAATCAAAAAATTAGCCAGATGTGGTAGCACGTGCCTGTAGTTCTGGCTACTTGGAAGACTGAGGCGGAAGGATCGCTGGAGCACAGCCAGTCAATGCTGGGGTGGCCATGAGTGTGTCCCTGCCCTCCAGTCTGGGTGACAGAGTGAGAATCCAACTCAAAAAAAAATAAAAATACCGAAGCAGCGATCAGTGTTTTCAGAGTTCACCCTATATCAACATGATAGCCAGGTATTTGCTACAAAATAAAACGGAAGCACAAAACACACAGAGACGTAAAAACAACCAAAGCAACTAAAATGACACACCAAGGAGCGAGTTATTTAACCATTGGGCTGAGGCAGCTCAACAAAGTTGTTCACATTAACTAACATCTGTTTTCCCCCACCTTCCAAGTTTCAATTAACCTTTCCTGTCAGAGCGCATAACAATTTGAATGCCTGAGTCCCATTTTAATAAACTGGACTTGGTTCAGAAGACCTCATGGTGATTTCAGAGAATGGCAATTACAGAAAACTGTCCTCACATTTGCAAATTCCAAGGAGAAAAGTTTCAAATGACCTTCAGTTATATCTTCCATCTCAGGGATCAGATGTAAAAACCCCAGCCCAGAGTCACTGATATTTAGGGACAACACATTTATAAAACTAACGGCACAACACACCCTCTTCCTCAAAATCCTACAAAAAACATATTTTATTTTATATAGATGCATGGTTTGTGTATGGGATAGAATACAAAATAAAAGTTAGGAGCACAATTGTCACTTGACTAGCCATTTTGATCTAATTGTATTAACATGTAACATCAAAGCGTGTAAGAATTCAAAATCATTAGCTGATTCAGACATTCACAGAGCTGTGACCTATAACAAATTATAAAAAGTAAATATCATTCTATTACTTTGATATAGTTTGATAAGCTCTCTATAGTACGTTTGCATTCACTATCTATCTTAATAACAATTCTGTGTAAGATCAATAGGATAAATTCTTCATTTGAAAATGAAGTCAAAGACAGGTTGAGTGATTTGCCTAAATTCATAAAGTGAGTCAGTTTTGAAATTAGTATTAAAGTCAAGTTCTCCTAATTCCCAGCTGAGATCTTCTTTCATCCAGGAGCAAATGTCATGAAGCCAGGAATTCCTGTCTGATTTTTTTACTGCCATTTTTTTACTTTCTACTTACCAAACTTACCAAACTCTGTAGCATGTTGTAGGTATTCAAGAAGTTCATGTTGAATAAATGAATGATTAAATACTTTTATTTTTATTTTTATTTTTTTGAGTTGGAGTCTCACTCTGTCTCCCAGACTGGAGTGCAGTGGCCACTCCCAGACACCGCAGCCTCGACCTACTGAGCTCCAGCGATCCTTCCGTCTCAGCCTTCCGAGTAGCTGGAACTACAGGCGCGTGCTACCACACCCGGCTAATTTTTTTTTCCCCCCCGGCTAGTTTTTGATTTATTGTAGGATGAGGTCTCACCAAGAGGTCTCACCAAGTTGCCCAGGCGGGTCTCGAACCCGCGGGCTCAGGCAATCCACTCACCTCAGCCTCCCAAAGCGCGGGATTACAGGCTGAGTCACCGAGCCCGGCTGATTAAATACTTTTAAAAGTAAAAATCGGAACATGATTTTTTTTTTTTTTTTTTTTTTTGGTGAGTTGGAGTCTCACTCTGTCGCCCAGACTGGAGTGCAGTGGCCACTCCCGGCCACTGCTGCCTCGACCTGCTGGGCTCCGGCGATCCTTCCGCCTCAGCCTTCCAGTAGCTGGAACTACAGGCGCGCGCTACCACACCCAGTTAATTTTTGATATACTGTAGAGATGAAGTCTCGTCAAGTTGCCCAGGATTTTTAAAACATAGAAAAATACACGGGATGGCCTTACTTCGGAGAAAATAAAACTGAGATAAGGAAGATCATGTATCGATCACTTTAGCAATTGAGAAACACTTTCCTTCTACTTTTATAAAATAACACTGTGACTCTGGTGATTGACCGCATGAAGTCCACCAGCAGCAACATTTAAACAATTAGTGAGAGATGTCGGAAGACAGGGGTTTTAGATCCAGCTTTTCTACCTGGAGTGCTGACCTTGAGGAGCCTCAACTTCTAAGTCCTTCAATGGCTTCCACCCACAATTCTTGGGGACTTACTATCTGCCTTGCTTAACTACAGGATAATCAGGAAGGTCAAATGAGATCATGAAGACACACTGTGAATAAGAATTCTATTGATGAAGCCAATTCCATAGTCACCTTCTCAGAATAGGATCCATGTACCTACCAGAGTAAAACCCAGACAACAGGAGCACACTAGCATTTATATACTGCAGTGAATAAAAACCAGACCAACGTCTCTCTGAATCCCTTGGAAGAATTCCCTTTCAGTCCTCAGTTCTGTTCAAAGATTCCCCATGACATCATTTCATTCTGATCTCACAAGGCACCTCTTATGGCTGCTCCCCAAGACTTACAACTGAGCCTTTCTGACTGCCATGGTGAAGGCTTTCAACTTGTTCTCTACTGGACTCGAGGACTTTCAAATTTTTCTTACTTTTTAAGGCCACTGTTTTTGAACCAGACAGTCTGCCTGGTTCCATGTCTTTCTGGCTACATCTTGCTATTACTATTATTTTTGTTGTTGTTATTGTTATTTTCTTCCAGGAATTGGCTACATCTTAACAGAACCCAAGCTGTACAGAGCCTATACCTTTCCTATTCTCTGGGGGAGACAGTCCAGCAAAGTAGCTCTTTCCACACTATTGATACTTTTAGACAGTGGTCCTCTAGGACAATACATTCTCCTAATAAGGATGATGGATGGATGGATAAATAATAGAGATAGATAGATAGATAGATAGATAGATAGAAGATAGATAGATAGATAGATAGATAGATAGATAGAGATAGATAATAACCTAAGTGATAGCACAGGTAAAGTAAGATGTCTCCCTCCTATATAGTTAAAAATGGGCAAGCATTCTTCCCAGGATATGGGGAAGAAGCCTGGTGGAGAACAATGAGATGAAAATGTTTGAGAAACTTTGCTAGCAATAATTATGGGTCACTTCTCCCAAACGGCATGAACATTTGAATAGCATGTAGAGAACTACTCATAGAATAACCATGATGTAAGGTAAGAGGGTGGTGACAGTTTGTACTCTTTAAAAGTTTCTAATCTTCCATTCATATGTAATTTTTTTTTTATTCTGTGTGGTTAGCCAATAATGCATGCAATGGGTAGCTAGGTTTTAAGAAAGTTCAAGAATTTCTTTTTCTTTTTTACATGAATTTATGAGTACACACATACACTTCCTTGTAAATTGATCTCCTCAAGCTGTAGAAGAATAAGGGTACCTGTTCATACCAGTGACCCCACTTAAGCATAGTCAGAATTAGGTGAAGTGTTAAGTACCACTGACATTCTCTCACCTCACAGAAGCTTTGGCACTGGTGTTTCCTCAGGTCTCCAGATTCCTTGCAGGGCTCCAGGCACTGAAAGAGAAGAACAATAATATTAGATAAAACATGGATAAGAAACAGAGCCAAAAAGAAAAAAGAATTCACCCATGGTAGATAGATGCCTTTCAACACCTCTTTTTGCTAGCCAGTTTAGAAAATCCAATTAATCAGTTGATGGTTTTAACTGGATATAATATAAATCCAAACAAGAGCATCATTACAGAACAGGGGACCCAAAATGTATTTCAACATAGTTGAAAAAGAAAAGTTACACAGACTGGCAGTGATTTATAGAAAAATTAATGATATTCACGGTCAGCCAGATTTTGGTAAGAAATATTTTTTATTCAATAAGAAATTCAGTTAAAATATTATTTCAGAAGAAATTTTTTCTTATAAAATTTGATATTAACTTGTTTTTAAGTTAGCAGTATAGGGCTATATTTTGTATTATTTCTACACGATAATTAAAATACATTGTATTAAATACATGTATGTGTGAATGCACACATATGTACTGTTGGCAACCTATGTTTTTACCTCGGTGAATCCAACTATATTACATTCATCCAGTTTAACTACTCTACTAAAGTATATTGAATAAGTCTAAATGTTATATTCTGACATAACAGTTTTGTAATAAAAAATAAACTTTACTTAAAAACACACATATACACAGCTTATTATTATATATATTCGAATAAAGACAATAGCCATTGTTCAATAGCAATTCTAGTAAATAATAACATTGTTAAATAAGAAAATTATATACATATATAATATATAGTTTATTACCATATATAGTATATGTATATACTACATACAAAGTATATATAGTATATGTGTATATTTGGAGTGTGTGTGTGTGTATATGATAGTAGTCAGTCTTCATGATTAAAAAAAGTATTTATATTCATGGAGTTTTGATTCTCAAAATTATACTTTAATGCAAGTTTAAATTAGTCAAAATTAATAGTCATGTACAGTCAAATGTTAGTCCTCCTAAGATAGGCATAGTCATGGATCTCATAAGCTCAAAATTATTTTATTGCTATTGTTTTAATTTCATTATTGACAAATTTTCCAATTAGGGGAGAAATTATCAGTTTAATTTCAGACATGTGTAATGTAGAGTTCAGACTATATGGTATACTGATACTATTTTTTTTTTTACTCTTTTCTAGTGACCTCATCCTTGTTTTAAAATACAGATATAGTTGGAAGATACACTGGAAGACTCTATGAAGGGCCTTAATTTTCAAACATCCATTGCCATTTTCCAATAAAAGATATATATGAAAATAACTGTCCCATGTATCAACTGTCAATCTTTTATGCCAACACTACTCAAAGTGTGATCAGTGACAGATGACATGAGCACACCCTTGGAGTTTGCTAGAAATGGAAACTCATGGGGCCTCCTCTCCACCAACAGAGTTATAATCTCAGGAGCAGGGCTCAGGAATCACTTTTAATAAGTTCTACTGAAAATTCTGATGCTTACTAAACTGTAAAAGGTCTATTATTGAGTTTTATGCAAAAAGTATTTTATTTTATTAGTTTAGTTTAGTTGTGGTGTACATGTGAGGATTTACTACATAAGTAAATTGCATGCACTTGTGGTTTGTGCTTCTAGGTAGCCCTCTTTCCCTGGTAGTGGACCTTGTACCCAGTGTGTGTGGTTGTATGCCCTTATTCCTCCTTACTCCCTCCTTCCTTTAGCAGTGTCCAAATTCTGTTATTCCCACTTTTATGCTCGTATGTCCAGTGATCAGGGTCTGCTTATGAGCAAAAAGTCTAAGTGTCTCTTTCTTGCTTTATATGAGTTTTATTAATATTTCCTATAAGAATATTTTTATATTTTATGTTCCATAAATTTACACATGAACAATTTATTTTTATTTTCATTTAAAAAAACGAGATTTTCAATAGTACTTTCCCAAGACACATGAGCTTGTTCCAAGTTTCAGTGTTTACCTCTTCTGAGTATGTTCAAAAACAAATTTTTCATCAATGTAACAATTCTAAAAGAATGTCATTTTTCTAACAGCAGTGAAACTTTTTTTAAAAACATATCTACCTTACATATTTTATAAATTTCTATAAAAGTTATTTTTGTTTCCTAAGTCCATACCAATGCCTTGTCTCAGAGCTCTCTTTTTTTTTTTCAAAACATTGGCTCCTAGGAAAAAAGTTTAGTGGTTATTTAATAAGTATGTTTAGACTTAATTTTTCTCAAGAACACTTGCAATGAATAAATGGTACTCTTCAAAATACCTTGAGATTTTATTTGGTACAAATAGCATCCTATGATGTAGTAAAACCACCCATCAAGATCTGAGGTTTGTTATGGATATAGGTTCAGCTACTTGCAAGGTAAATCTTTGTCCCTTCACTCAAGAAATATCCAACAAGCATTTATTTATTCTACAAAGTAACTATTAAATACTATGTAGCTAACAACATCACAGAATAATTATGCAATTTTGATTTCTTTCATTCCTAAAAATGTAAATTATGAAAATATGCTGCTACATGTGCACACAGCTGCATTTCTACAACTATAGACATCCGTACACAAAAAGTCTGAATCCTTTGAGATCTCCTAATTTCACATAACCATGGTCCCAACAGCTTATGGAATGAACAAATGGCTTATACAATAAAAAATATTTACAAAAAAGAGACATATTTCTGAAATGCTATTAGAAGAAATACATAACAGGCTCGCCTTCCTGTTAATCCAGAATCTCTGTCTACCAATCCTAGTATTGTATATGCAATTCATTTAAAGTTTTATTTTAATTGCATGCTTGCCTCATTTCCAATAACTAGTGATCAGAAGTGTCTAAAAACACTTTTCAAAATATAATTAATGCCAGTCAACATTTTCTTTCAGTAATCCTCTATGAGCACTACCTGACAAGAATAGCCTAGATGCAGTCATCTGAGTAAATTTTTGCAGGATAAATTTGCCAAAGCTCTATTTCTTTATGAGTATTCCAGCCAGTAAAAAATGATTTCAACAAAAGCTAAAGAGAAGGAGGGGAAAAATTACAACCACTTCTTTCACACATCCTATAGGAAACAGTTCCATGAAAGAAGTGAATATGAGAAAAATAATACAACTAGCGACAATTGCTTTAGAATTTATCAGATATAGCAACTGTCAGTGTCATGATCATATAATGCCTAAAACTATCCAAAACAGTAACCAAAGTTAGTATTTTTTGCAAGGATTTTAGGCTTTCAAGTTTTAAGATAAAAGACTGTTTGAAATCATTTCTTCCTAGGCTACTTCTTAGGTTACTGCTTCAAGCACACTGGCAAAAAAACAATTTTCAGAGGAAAAAAAATAAGTTGAGAGAGCTAACCATGTATGTAATTACTTGGAATGTAGATACTGATATTTTTTTTTAACTTAACCCAGAACCAAGAACCTTTGCACAAATTTTGAGCCCTTTTAGAACTATTTGTTCAATGGAGCCTCATTGCAATAAATCTATGGAAGTATGTAAAATTAGGCACTAGTTTTCTTACATTTTAGAGGGAAATCACTGAAGTGCAGAGAAGTTGAGGAAATAAAGCCAGAGACTATAGGAGAGACAAGGGAATTGGAATTGGAACTCATGCTTCAGCACACTCAAAGGGCTGTCATTTCCATTATAAAGCACTGCCCTATGGAAAAAATATTTGCAAAATCTATGCATCCAACAAAGGCCTAATATCCAGAATCTACAAGAAACTCAAAAATCCCAACAATAAAAAAAAGCTCCATTAAAAAGTAAGCAAAGAACATGAACAGACATTTTTCAAAAGAAGACATACAAGCAGCCAACAAACATATGAAAAAAATGTTCAACATCACTAATCATCAGAGAAATGCAAATTAAAACCACAACAAGATGTCATTTTACAACAGTTAGAATAGTTGCTACTACAGAGTCAAAAAAAAAAAAAAAAAACAGATGTTGGCAATGATGCAAAGAAAAGGAATGTTCATATACTGTTAGTGGGAATGTACAATCTCTATGGAAAATGGTATGAAAATTTTTCAAAGAACTAAAATTAGAGCTATCATTCAATCCAGCAATCCCACCACTGGGTATCTACCCAAAGGAAAAGAAACCACTATATCAAAAAGGTATCCGCACTCGTATGTTTATCACAGCACTAGTCACAATAGGAAAGATGTGGAATTAATCTGAATACCCATCAACAGAGGATTGTATAAAGAAAATGTGGTATATGTGTATGTGTGTGTATATATAAACACACACACACATATATATGCACACCATGAAATACTACTCAGTCATAAAATAATGAAATCATGTCTTTTGCAGTAACACGGATGGAACTGCAGGCCATTACCTTAAGTGAAATAACTCAGAAACAGAAAATCAAATACCACATGTTCTCACTGATAAGTGGGCGCTAGACAATGTGTACACATAGACATAGAGAGTGGAATCATAGACATCGGAGACTCTGAAAAGTGAAGAGGGGATGAGGGATGAAAAGTTACCTAATGGGTACAATGTACACTCAACAGATACACTAAAAGCTCAGACTTCACCATAAAACAATATATGCATAAAAGATATATATGTTTGTACCCCCCAAATATATAAAAATTAAAAAGTACTACCCCATTTATGCCACTTGCTACAGGGGCTTAATGAAATAATGTATATAGAAGAGATTTGTATGCTGAAAAGTACTTTGCAAATCTATGGGATTACTAAAATAAGATGATCCCAGAGAGGATTCAGTTTCAGAATGCCCTAGGAGCTACACATTCCAAGGTATCTATGTAAGCACAACCTATAAGATTAAGTATTGCAAGTCACAGAGAAAGGCATCATGAGCCAGAGTACTAACAAACAAGGAAATTGTTGATACTACTCTGGTGAACCACCATCTGGCCAGTTTAGCACCAAATTCCATCTTATACTTAAACAAACATTTTCATTAAAGTACAGCAGCAGAAATTTTATTACCAAAACAGCAATGATAATAAATGATGAAGC